AGAAGAGAAGGAGCTGCCCGGGGAGGAACACGGAGGTTTCCCCTTTGATGTGTGCAGGGAAGACGCGTTGGCTTCCTCTCAAAGAGCGGGCTCCCAGTCTTTGGCAAGCGCCACGGCACTCCTCGGCAAGGCTGCGAGCCCAACCGGTCCCCAGCACGTGGAGCCGGAGCCTCTGCTGCCACAGCGGGCGATTGCCACCGGCTGTCTACGCAGCAGAGGGTGAGCTGCGGCATCGTGGCCAGCAGGACAGTGGCCACGCACCATGCCCAAGGCTCAAGAGCCCACCGGGGCTGCGTCTCCCCGCACCAGCGCAAGGTCTCGGCCGCTGACCTGAGCGTTCGGCTGCAGCACCAGGAGCTCCACCACCAAAACGGGAGCTGGGGAGGAGAGAGCAGCCAGGAGGGGCAGGGAGCTCCTCACATTTCAAAGTCACTTTTGTTCCTAAAATTGAATGTGGTTAAAGTAGAAAGCATCAATTCCTGGAGCAGGTTCCAAAATACATAAATGAGTTTTGCTTTGCTTCTGTGGTCATGTGCTGAGAAGCACGGACCGGAGGAAGACCACAGGTGGGATTTTCTCTTCCTCTTTCCCAAGCTGCTTCTGAAAACTTTTCAAGTGACAAAATGATAAGTTGAAGGGGAGAGAAAGGAGAGCAGATAAAAAAAAAAAAAAGCTTTTGCATCCAATAGTGTAAAAACAGTGGCAAAGGGGGAGGGAAGGGCGAGTTTTGGAGATGTGTCACTCCAGCTGCCAGTCCCTGCTTTCCAGCAAGGACCCCCCCGGGGGCAGTGGGCTGGGCAAGCTCGTGCTAACGGGACAACTGAGTGGAACCAATGAATTTTAAAATGTGAGGAGATGGAAGGAGCAGATTAGGATGGACACGTCCAGTGGTACTGGGTGGAGAAAAGGTGCGTGAGACTGTTGTCTAAGCCCTTCTGCAAAATCAGAATTTATATCTCGTTCCCACTCAACCCCTGTTTCTTCAAGGAGGATCCGAAACTGCTGGAAGAAACATGTCAGGAAGAACGTGATCCATGTTGGAAATGATGGACTCGGCCAGCTAGAGAGGGAGGCTGAGCTGAAAGGGCCCCATAAAGAAAATGTGCACGTTGGCATCCCCCGTTGGCGCGGGTGCTGAGCGCTGGGCTCTGCCGGCTGCCGCTCGGTTCAGGCGGTGCTGGCCTCCCCCGGGAACCCGTGTCCTCCGCCTTCTGTGTTTCTCGAGTCAGTGGAGTGTCCCAGAGGCAGCCTGCAGCCAGCCGTCCCCGAGCAACGTGCCTTAGGGACAAGGAGCACCCTTCCCGCAGCGAGGGGGTGCTGCTGGCCGGGCAGCACCGGGAGAAATGGAGCTAAACTGTGATTCTTTGGCTGTGTTTTCCATATCACAGAATCACAGAATCGCAAGGGCTGGAAGGGACCTTGGGAGCTCACCCAGCCCAACCCTCCTGCTAAAGCAGGTTCTCCTAGAGCATGTTACACAGGACTTCATCCAGGCGGGG